CAACCAAAAAAAATTAAAAGCTATTTTTATTGGATACCCATATTTGTGTAGACGCTTCGTTTATTTATTAAACAGTATATTTATTTTGTCTACTGGCTGGAACATTCGAGAAATCTTATTAGTGAAAAAATCCGACTTCTAGTATAATTCGAACCAAGGAGAAATTGCCTTCAGACGCGACGGACTTCAAAGATCTTGGTTACTAAAGCTAGGATACAATCATGTGAAAAAAAATAGGGGATATATTCAAGTAAATCGAGTCGTTTTAGTAGTAGTTATCACAACATCTCACCCTGCTTATTGATCGTAATAGAATAACATGCAAATTGATTTTTAAGCAGATTTCCCGCGCGAAAACCATTCATTATGTGTAAAATTATGAACGCAACTTATGATTCTAAGATTTATATCACCAGCGATGGCAACCATTCATCACAAAGGAATAAAAACAATGCAATAATGTCGATTTCAAAACTGCACAATATTCCATTAATGAATTTCTTTTAATTTCGTTAAGAGATTTCATGAATCAGGCAACATATTATTTGAATACATTGTTCGTATCACACTTAGAAAAATCCTATCAATAATTCAAGTTTCTCGCTGTTAAAGGTTTTAAGGAATCTTCATCAAAGTTGCGGCAAAAGAGGCTGGGAAATCATTATGTAATATCAAAAACTATTTCTGCATATTTCCTTAATTTGAAGCTTCAGTAAAAAAAAATTGATTCTGCTTGTTGCGTGAAAAATTGATGCCCTTTTGTTGCGTGAAATAATTCTTATAAACTGATAATCTCAGATATGTGTCCTTGACCTAGAAGTTATCGTCACAAGATTTGAAACAGACAAGCGAAAATGAGCTTATGACTTCCGGTATCCACGACCGGATACATAGCCTGGTACTATATTCAATACGTGTATTCGATAAAAACCTCGTATAATTTGGTTCAGTTGATAAGTGACATCAAATAGAGGAATTTTCTACTACAATAAACATTCTGTCATAGAACGATTTGAACAGTATATTAAGTGCAACATAACCATGTAGATTGAGTAAAGTTTTTGTTGGTAACTTTTCGGATATTCTATAAATATATAAACCTCTAAAGGCATTAGAAGTCTACAACGGGATTTTGGATGTTTTGCCGATATATATATATATATATATATATATATATATATATATATATATATATATATATATATATATATATATATGAGAAAGAACTAATAGGAAACGCTTATTAATCTAAAATTTTAACTTTTATTAAAGCTTCGTCATATAAAAGTGGAATATGTTACATTAAAAAACGTTTCCTATTTATTTATATTAGCATTCTGTAGGATTGCGATTCATATTTGATCTTTATTTGATCGCAAATCATTTACAGTATTAATATACACACACACACACACACACACACACACACACACACATATATATATATATATATATATATATATTATTCGGACTATTGTCCTCATCTATTTCACCATATTCATTACATAGTTTCGGCCGTTGTAGGCTCCGGCCTTCTTCAGGTGATTGGACTGTCGAACTGAACCCTTCATTTCACTTACTGGGGTAGACTCTTCTAGTCCCACGTGCCATGTCTAATGGATGTCAGTTATCAGTTATCTCTTGTTAATTCCCCTTTCTATGTTCTCCACCACCTTAACCAGGGTTCTGTCACTGGATCTAACTAACGCCTTTATCCATTGTGCCATGTGTACTCGTGTCATTTGTGTATGGATTTCTGGGTATTAGAAACCTAATGTCTTCAGCAAACATTTTTTACGAAGTCTTATATTGCAATATAATTATTAACTGATAATAAATTGAGCACTGTTTTGTATAAATAAATATAAAAAATATCAATAAGAAGACCGGATTATATATTTTACTGTTCTTTCTATATATATATATATATATATATATATATATATATATATATATATATATATATATATATACATATATATATACATATATATATATATATATACATATATATATATATATATATATATATATATATATATATATATATATATATATATATATATATATATATAAAAAGAAAGAGAGATAGAGTGACATACGCAGATACACTGTGCCACAGCTCATCAGTGTGGCTAGACGTCCGGTCGCCATTGACAGAGATTGCATTAGTTACGATTATGGGGCATACTGATATGAGAACAATATGGACGCTTGTATTTAGAATCAGATAAAGTAAATAATTTCTGGCCATATTGATTATGTGGTCTTGGAGAATTTGATATGATATGAATCTCAATCCGACAGAATGATAATATAAATAAATAGGATATTTTTTTAATGTAACATGTTCCACTTTTATATGACGAACCTTTTAATAAAAGTTAAATTTGTTAGTTCAATAAGGGTTTCCTATTAGTTCTTGTATTTCAGTAACCTCTATTATAAGATTGAGTAAGTGTTATTTATTCAAATAATTTCATACATCTTTATTTTTATGTTTCATATAAGACAATCAATTCTGTCTTGTGAATATGCTAAGGATTTTTAAAAAAGAATCTAAAGATGGCTGTGTCCATAGGAATATATATGAATTAAGTGTTTTATGATTGGAAAAAAACTCATCTCTATACAAACTGGATCAACCGTATCTACCATTGTCTTGTTTGCTGATAATATCAGCTTGATAAAAAAATATATGTCATTGAATTTTATGCACGCTTCTTATCGCCGCTAGTCAACCATTGTAAAGTTTCTTTTTCGTTTATTGCACCAGAAAAAAACGTCTTACTTCTCTGGCTACATAAAGTCTATCTTTTTCTATATTCGGTTGAAAGGCGGTGTGTGGGGGTTGTTTGTCAGTGCTTTTCTAACTTTTCAAAAAATCTTTTATTTCTTCTGCTTATTTATCTCGTTTGATTTTATTGAGAATTCTCTTCTGAGATGATGTTTTTAATATCTAGTAGGTTTATTCTATTTAAACAGAGTTATTTTCAACTAAAATGTCATGACGAATGTCTCTGGCATTTACGCTTTACATGGAAAAGTGCCAACTATGAGTGACAATAATGACAGCGAGTAAAATCAATAAAGAAAAGAACATATTGCTGATATTCTTGATGATGATGATGATGATGATGATGATGACGGTGGTGGTGGTAGTGTTTGTTGCGGTAGTGGTAATGGCAATGGTGATGATTATGTTGCTGGTGGTGGCGGTGGTGGTGATGTTGCCAGCGATGATGTTGATAGTAGTGGTGGTGGTGACGATGATGATGATAGTAGCAGTGGCGGTGGTTGTAGTTAGTGCGGGGTCGGTAGTTTTTGGGATCATGATGATTATGATGATGGTAGTGGTGATGTTGGCGATGATGAAAATGATGGGGATGTTGGTGATGATAAAGATGAAGATGTCGGCGATGGTGGTTTTGATGATGATTATTATGATGAAGATGTCGGCGATGGTGATATTGATGACGATGATTATGATGAAGATGTCGGCGATGGTGATATTGATGATGGTCGGCGATGATGATTGATGATTATGATGAAGATGTCGGCGATGGTGGTTTTGATGATGATGATTATGATGAAGATGTCGGCGATGGTGATATTGATGATGATGATGATTATGATGAAGATGATGAAGATGTCGGCGATAGCGATGGATGATTATTGATGATGATGATTATGTTGAAGATATCGAAGATGTCGATGATAGTGGTTTTGATGATGATGATTTCTGATGAAAATGTCGGCGATGGTGATATTGATGATGATGATGATTATGATGAAGATGTCGGCGATGGTGGTATTGATGATGATGATGACGCCGATGGTGATGAAGATGTTATGATGAAGATATCGGCGATGGTGGTTTTGATGATGATTGATGATGATGGGATTATGATGAAGATGTCGATGTCGGCGATGGTGGTTTTGATGATGATGATTATGATGAAGATGTCGGCGATGGTGATATTGATGATGATGATTATGATGAAGATGTCGGCGATAGTGGTTTTGATGATGATGATGATTCTGATGAAAATGTCGGCGATGGTGATATTGATGATGATGATGATTATGATGAAGATGTCGGCGATGGTGGTATTGATGATGATGATTATGATGAAGATGTCGCCGATGGTGATATTGATGATGATTATGATGAAGATATCGGCGATGGTGGTTTTGATGATGATTATGATGAAGATGTCGGCGATGGGGATATTGATGATGATGATTATGATGTAGATGTCGGCGATGGTGGTTTTGAAGATGATTATTTATGCGGTGATGACGATGAAGAAAAGAATAAAAGGATGTACAAGAAGATTTGAAATAAAATCAGTAAATGATAAATTTTAGCAATTATATTTCATCAGAGGAAGAAAATTAATCACTCTAAAATAAATGAGCGTGATGAGGACAAATTGCCAATTGTCCGAACACAGAATATTCCGCGACGGGGAACTAAATATTTGAGCTACGTTTTGGAAAGATCAAAATCAAGCAAGATTTAAAATTTAACGATTCGATAAAGGTAATAGCCGACGATGGACAACGTGACACAGAAATTCAAACGCATATTAAATCAGCGAATTATATTTTCCAAAAGCTAAATATAGTATTAAGAAACGGTAAAGTATTGTTACAAACATAATAAAATTTATAAATTTCTATGTCATATCAGTCCTTCTATAGGACAATAAATGCTGAACAATTCCTTAGGAAGAGACGACATGAAACAAAAATGGTATTGTTCTACAGAAGGATGTTGAGAATAACACGGACGTAACATATAATCAACGAGGAATTTATAAGAAAATTTGAACAAAAACGACGCTTGTATTTAGAATCAGAAAAAATGGAAAATTCTTCAGATAGTGGGCCTGCAGAATTTCAAAGACATGACATATTGAAGTCAAATAGGAGAGAGTAAAATTATTACCCAGAACAATGTTCCTACTATCATTGATTTTCATGATTCAACGGGCTTACGATCATATCACGTTGAAACACCGGTTCACGTATGATCAAAGAAATTAAGAAACTTCTTGCCTGGTCAGTAACTAGATGGGTGACCTCTTGGGAATACCACGCGTTGAAAGCTTGGATAATGGTACAGACACCCACACACACACAGTGCGACATAAATAGATCCCATAAACACCGCCCTGAACTACCTCCTACTTAATGGTAAGATATTAGCTAGTTGAAGACACCATTGCCACAAATGTCTTACTATTATGTGGGAAGTATTTCTCGGTGTGGCGTATACGTGGGAGGTATTCAGCCTTTCAGGATGGTTCTGCACTAAACCTTCACCACTATAATCAAATCACATGCGCTGGTGTCTGGGTGTCGGCTCCTAGGAACTGAGCTGTTTGACCCTCAAACATCGAATAAGACGGAAGAGACGAATATCTATCTATCTATCTATCTATCTATCTATCTATCTATCTATCTATCTATATATATATATATATATATATATATATATATATATATATATATATATATATACATATATATAGAGAGAGAGTGAGTGAGAGATAGAGATAGAGAGAGAGATGTGACAAAACTAGATCAGATTTTTTGAACAGGTTAAAAAAGAAGCCGATAATAAGGGAAATATAACAAGTATCAATGTTTTGCTAGTTTCCCCTGTTTTTCACTCAATGCAATGCCAAGAACCACTTGTTAGAACCTTACAAAATGAGGGTCTGGCCCAAGAAACACACAGCAAAAATTTTGATTTGGAAACATTTCTGTGATAGTGAGCCAAGGTCGCTCGTTTGAGAGGACTCCAGGACACATTTTGATTATTTGAATAAGAAAGAATGATCGGTAATGCGATGACTTACCTAAAATAAAACACGTGGTTAAAATATTCATAAAATTGATACGATAAAAATACTATTAAGGTTTTCCAGCCATGTTCCTTCAAGATGATCGCTCTCTCTTCTTTTCATATCTATAAAAGCAGAATTGACATTATTGCCACTCGGGAAAATATTTATGTTTCCTGTTTTATTTCTTAGAGTCTTGAATTATTCCGTTAGACTGGGGTCAAAAGAATTTCAGTTTGTGTTGATCAATGGAAGTTGGATTGATAGCATTCCGAAAAAACTTATTAGGAATTGAATACAGTCTTGTCCAGAAATTGAACTGAGTGTGCTGATTCCATGTAACTAGAATATTCCTATTTAAATTTATAATAAATTTCAACCCTGGTATTATTGAAATACGCAACGTTTTTCTGCCTTTGTTCCACCAACGTTCAATTGAGTATAAAATATCCTGAGGAAGTAATAGGCATTTCAATGATACATAATAATTAAGTCTTTTTTGTGACACTGAACACTATTTTTTTCATTTCCTCATTTTTAATTTACTTTCTGAAATGGAGTAATTTTCTCAGTCAATCAAGAGTCAATTTTCATGGTAATTTTCTCCCGAGGTTCCACGACATTACTGTGGATTTTTATTACTTTCATTCCTATTTTTGACCCAAGTATTTGCAGTTTCTAGTGCGTTTTACTTTATTTCCTCATATATTTCTTCACTTGTAATAATTTCTTGTCTCTTCATTTTCATTACAATTTGTGCAGTTTTATCAATGCTAGTTTTCCCCGCAAAATTTTACTTTTTTAAAAATTTTTTGTTCTTCCGTTTTCTAGGCGTTACTGTCTGAATAAAACAATGTTCTTTTCTTTAATTAAAGTCAAGTAATTTTTTTTATCTCTCTTCCGTCTTAACATAAAACAAGGATCGTTTATTTCTATCATAAGTAAATATTTAACTTTCCTTAATACCTTCTTCATTCATATCATTTCCGTCATTACATTAAATTGAAGATTCTATCCTAAATTTATTTTTCTAACATCCTACAGGACGTGTTTATCTTTAGCGAATCTTGGTGGGAAAAAGTATCTTTTTGTTATATATGTTTCTTTTCTTTGATTCCGTTCTTCTCTCTTTTCTTCTTGGTTGTTTTCTTTATATGTCAGACTCTAAAAAACTATCTCTCTGTCTATATCACTTCTATAAAACTATATCTATATTTCAGACTGTTGATACATATTTTATTCAACTACACAGATATACGACTAGAAAATATCACGAATAAACTAAATAAAAATGCGAGATGGAATTTAGAAAAGGCTAAATGGGATGGATTTAAGATTTCATTTCTAGTCGAACTAAACACAGAAGCCAATAAGAACAAAGAAGGCATCCTATATTTTAACAACACACTGTTATATATATATATATATATATATATATATATATATATATATATATATATATATATATATATAGTTTATGCAAATTTAGGTAATCCGTATGGGTAGACCTGAGGAGGATGATATCAATGTAAAATTCAGAGCAGATATGTTTGAATAAAAAGACAGACCACGTTAAGATTCCATGTAATAAGCTATTTCACCATAACCCCTTTAACAGGGTTCTGGATCATCAGACTTTACTTCCAAAAGCTGAAATGAAAAATGAAAAGAAATCCATACGTTTTTTACGGACCTCATCAAGTATACGCAAAGTTAACGAAGTGAGGAAGTGAGGTGGGAGAGAGGATATGAGTGTCTCATATGTATCATTTTAGTTTCCTATTTTAACCCCAGTGTGTCGGCTGGATGTTGCTCAAATCTAACGCGTCTCGTCTCTAGATAAAGGTGGTTAAGGGGTTAGCGATAAGGACTACATTAAGGAAGACGTTACAATAACCCCAATAAATTACACGACAGGTCTCATTCAAATTCTTAGACGCTGTCAGTTCGCGTTACTTTAACGTGCATATTTGGGAGGTTAAGGTTTGATAAATATCTAAATTTTAAAACAATCTACGAAGAAATTAATTTGAAATTCGGTGGAGTTTTGGGTATTTTCTATGAAGCAGTCGATTGGAAAAATCCATAGACAGAAAATTGAAAGAGTAATCCAATTTATATTTAGTACTTTTTCTACTAAAACTTTTATCTTATAGCTTGTTAGGTTGACATTTATTCGTTTGATTTTTGTTCATTAAGTAAACTCGTGGTTGTTTTTTTTGATTTTTGTTCATTAAGTAAACTCGTGGTTGTTTTTATGTATCAATTATCAACAGTTATTCCCATTTAAATAATTTTATTTTCCACATTGGGGTAGTATCTTTCAATCTCAATTAAAATACTAGTCTAAAACTTTCCCTTCGTGCTATTTAGAATTCACTTCCAACTGGAGAATATTAGAGGAGAAATTTGGAAGAGATGTCACTAGCAGGAAATTAAGCCCTTCTTTTACATTTTCTTATCTACACATGCCTTAAACCCCTATTTGTAACCACATACCTATATAGTCTTATATGCCTATGAGTTCCTATATGCACGTACACGTTAGATTTGAGCAACATCCAGCCGACACACTGGGGTTAAAATAGGAAACTAAAATGATACATATGACACACTCATATCCTCTCTCCCACCTCACTTCCTCACTTCGTTAACTTTGCGTATACTTGATGAGGTCCGTAAAAAACGTATGAATTTCTTTTCATTTTTCATTTCAGCTTTTGGAAGTAAAGTCTGATGATCCAGAACCCTGTTAAAGGGGTTATGGTGAAATAACTTATTACATGGAATCTTAACGTAGTCTGTCTTTTATATATATATATATATATATATATATATATATATATATATATATATATCCTACGTCCAGTAGAAAGTATAATAAGACAAATCTCTACTACAGTTAGCCCCCTATAAGGTTGCATAAATAATGATTGGGAATAGTTTGGGATCCAAACAAGAACCAATTTCCTTCAACGTCACATTAAAACTTAAATTTGGCCGGATGAAGAGCTTTTCTTGCTCTTCTCTCATATATATATATATATATATATATATATATATATATATATATATATATGTGTGTGTGTGTGTGTGTGTCCGTGAGTGTGTGTGTGCCCGTGCGTGTGTGTGGGTATATATATATATATATATATATATATATATATATATATATATATATATATATATATGTGTGTATATATATATATATATGTGTGTGTGTGTATATATATATATATATATATATATATATATGTGTGTGTGTGTGTGTATATATATATGTGTGTGTGTCTGTGAGTATATATATATATGTGTGTGTGTGTGTGTGTGTAAAATTGTACTCACAAGTACTGCTCACAATTTACGAAAGGCTTTATCTATATTAAATATATTATGACTCCTTTTTTTTTATCAAAAATCCTCAGTGGAAAATCTCATTATGTCATTTGTTATCTCAGGTTTTGGTTGGGTCCCGGAAGAAATGATTACCAACCAGAAATCAAATGAAATAAAATAACAATAACAACACTCGTAATAATAATTATTATTGTAATATTTCCAGTAAACACGAACATTATTTTTCTCTATCTCCCATAATCTTCATAAATTCTTTACTCTTCTTAGCAGTACCTCGCTTTAGCGGCTCTACATAATTTAGTCAGCCTCCCATTCTTCCGTTTTCCATGTTTACGTTCAACCAAGTCTACTTTACTAATCTCTTCTTTCCTTCTCCATACGTGTCAAATTAAGCGATGTATTCTAATCTGTTGATCTAATAACAAATTTAAGCGAATTAGATCTCTTATATGGATAAAATAAAGAAAGTTTGAAGCGAATTAATAATTAGTGCTATTTCAAGTTTTGCCATGGAACAAAGTACATCATTAACTATCTTTTTCTTTTTTTTTGCATAGAGAATACATTGTAACCGTTTCTTTAGTATTCCACAAACAAAACAAAAAAAATTAAATCAACAAAAAATATCAATTTTTATCATCATTTCAACATTGCTTCTGGGAAAGAATCCTGTAAAACCCTCTTTCCGAAAGTGCGATCAAGTGCACTTTGGAATTATTTTTTTTAGCATAATATTATAAATTCAACACGACTGAATATTACATGTGAAGATTATAGAAACTAGATACAGGTAAAGTTGACCAAAACAGAATAAAACACGGGTTTTCTCAGTGGATTGGCTTAACATTTGCAGAAATCCAATTCTAAGACAACTAGTGAAATAAACAGGAAGTTTATAATT